ATTGCAACTCCGTTTCAGCGCAGGGGGAGCCGAGGTATGCCGGTTTCGTTTTGTGTCGCAGAACGAGAAGACTGTAATTGTACAAAGCTATTTTAATTTTACGAGTTGTAGTTAATATCTTCCTAATAGCAGAAAGTATCACCATGTTATTATTTAGGGTTTGCAGACACACACGCAGTCTATTTGAACAGTAATTTGTTTTGTGTGGCGTTTAAAAGTAAAAAAAAAAAAAACGCTATAGTGAAAGCTTTGTAATGGCTTTTAGATTTGAATGAACAGGATGTTGTTTCTTAAGTGTAAACAGTGAGTAATCGCGTCATTATTTCGATACTGGAGTGTCTTACATCTTAATAAAATATGTCAATATACACTTTAATGAAAAATATACGCGATACAGTAAGTAAGTATCCCGCTTCAAACCAGTATCAGCCGCCATTTTCATTGCTTGTATCTTTCCTCGCTCTGTCTTTGTTTTGTTTTGTTCAAATAGACGAATTAGTAAACTTTATGATATGCATTTAAATAAGCAGTCGTTCGCGCTTTGTTGCGGCGGCACACCGAATTAATGTGGGTTGTGAAAATGACAGACATAACGTCTGCTTTTGCCGCCGCGCGCTCTGATTGGAGGTTTCTTGGTCGTCTCTCGAATACTGACGAGTTTGTGTGCTTTCGGATGCGAGCCGTGTCCAGTCCGAGATTGCGGTGGCACGTGGCTTTAAACAAAGAGTGTTTACAAACTCTTTTGAAGTTATACTATAGAAAAAAAACTGGTTAAGTGTGAGACAGATACGCGCACGAAGGGTTCCGTACCGTTATGTATAAAAACGGCAAAGAAAATCATATCTGTTATGGGAGCGCCCCTTAAATATTTTTTATTCTGCTATTTTTTGTTATAGCGCCAATATAGATACGTCATCTGTGAAAATTTCAACTGTCTAACTATCACGGTTCATGAGATACAGCCTGGTGACAATCGGACGAATAGACAGACAGCCTAGTCTTAGTAATAGTCCCGTTTTAGGCTTTCGTACTAAACACTTTTTTTAAAGCGACACGATGAAGTTGCAAAGCGACCAACTTGGGCCATCTTCACGGTATTACAATGGCAATCAATTACAACTTTTTGACATTAACTTACAATGCCAAGTTATTTAATTAAACCGTTATCGATTACATTTAGTGCCTTTTTCACAAACAAAGAGTACTGGTGCAAGGGATAATTTTTTTTAATTATTTTTGTTTTATAAATTTTAAAGTTTTTTTATAGTGCTAATCTCTGCACTTAAGATTGAACATTAAAACTTTTTTCTACATGTTTTAATGTTCAATTTTAAGTGCAGAGATTAGCACTATAAAAAAATTTTAAAATTTATAAAAAAAGCAATGGCGACATCTCTCGTTCGAAGTATCGTTGTAAAACGATATTCTAAATTGTTTGTATGCTGGAAAGGATATAACAATAGATACGCCAAGCATTGCTTCAAATGCTAAATAACAATGTAGAAAGAAGGCGTTAAGATTTTCGTCGCTATGGCTATCAGCCGTTTAGCTCAGTGGCTAGAGCGTCAGGCCGCAAATGCCGAAGACGTGCGTTCGATTCCCATAGCGGCGACAATCTTTTCGTACTTTTTCTTGACATGTTTTAATATTTTTGTTTTGTTCCGCTAAAGATGTGTAATTTCTTACGTGCGTCCATAAGTACAGACATATTTTTTTAGTGAACAACTATTATTAATAGAATTTTAACTAGACTGTTTTAATTGAATTAAAAAATTACGGCGTTGTACTTCCTGTCTGTAGATTGCACAATATGATGATTGCGAAATATGAAATGTAATTACCAAGCATAAATGATGAGAAAAGTGAATCCTGCAGCACTGCAGTGATGATATTCTAATAAAAGATACGTTAAAAGAAAAACACACAAAAGTTAAAACCAGCACCAGATAATGGGTCAGGTGTTGTAAAGTTATAAAGTTAACCTAATCCTCTACTAATTCATATGTGTGGGTTTTATCGTGGACCTACTATAAATCTGATTTAAATTCTAAAATATCAATTTGTATTTTACAAACTGTATATTTTATAATTGTAAGTAATGACTGGTATTGGCTTTGTCACTGAATTTATATTTATGATGAAGCACTAACTTATAAAGGTCTTATAATTACAAAAAGTCCTCTTACAACCCATTTCTGTAGAAAATAGTGGTATAGAACGCCAGAAAAGGAATATCGTGATTTCAACTGCCTACGGCCTTCTACGTCCAACTTTCACTTTGGATCTTTCTACAATGACAGCTTATGAGACTCGACTAAGTATCATTCATTAAATCATCCCATCTTATTACTTAATTTAAGGTCTACTTTGGATCCATCTAGTTAGCGCGAAAATTTGCGTAGCACCAAGACTATGGTTAACATAAAATAGTCTGAAACGGTAGAGCGGAACGAGCAGTGGTGCTACGGCGTAGAATCTAGGTTATGCTCGATAGATTTTTTTTAAAAATAGACAGTAAATACACGTTGACGCCAAAGTAAAACTTCTAGCCATTTTGAACTCTATTAGAGAAGATATTTTGTTTTGACTCAAACTAATAATAACTTTTGCTTTAATTGTTTATTGAATTAGTTCAGTTTCAAAGACTGTGCAGGGACTGTGTTGTTTTAGGTTAATGGGAAAAAAAATCAATCAACTTCAACCAGCCCCAGGCAATTCATGGTAAATGTTTTTACTATCTTAGTCACTCCGCACTGCCAGGAGGTGTGGTGAGAAATTTCCTTTTTTAGGGTTCCGTACCCAAATGGTAAAACGGGGCCCTATTACTAACACTGCAGTACGTCTGTCACCAGCCTGTATCTCATGAACTGTGATAGACAGTTGAAATTTTTACAGATGATGTATTACTGTTGGCGCTATAACAACAAATATAACTAAAAACATAATAAAAAATATTATGTAAGTGGGGCTTCCAAACAACAGACATGGTTTTTTTTGCCGTTATTATAGATAATGGTACGGAACCCATCGTGCGCGAGGCCGTTTTTTTTCGTCGACATCCTCAACTCACGCACTTGTATGTTTCCCATATTAAGTAGAAAGGAAACCCGTGTACCCCTAGGGCGTTCCGAGTGCCTTTTTGCAGAATTAAACTTCTGGCAATCGAAAGTGCTTTTGTCTTTTTATCGCTTGTTTTTTGTTGTAGGTTTTTATGAAGATGCAGCTTGCGAAGTTAAGGAATATCGAATGAAGATGCGTGTAAAAAAAAGATTTCAATTTTGCTGTGGTTTTATTTTTCCGTAGACTTGCATAATTGATAGCTAGGTGTCTTCAAATGCCATGTTCAGAATTGCGACCTATAAGACCAACGTACCGTTGTTTTTGTGACATTTTTTTACTATAAAGCTTATGCCATACAAGCCGTGTGTTTGTCCGTTTGTCCCGTGTTTGTGGCATAGTATAATTTTAATTTTTATTGTAAAATTGTTATACACTTTTAATTTATTATACTCGAGCAACGTGAGTTCGATCCCCGGTCCCCAATCCGCACGTCACGGGTTGACTATGGCCTAGTACCTTCTGTATGGAGGAGGCCTTTGCCCAGCAGTGGGATATGTATGGGTTGTGACTTTATTTTTTACTTTTACCATCCCTCGTTTAAGCCAGTATTGTTACTTCATTGATCGTTATTTATTGTTGTTGTAATAAAATAAAGCATCGTTCTAAAAAGACGATAGCCTAGTAATAGCTTCCGGTCATATTGCGGCGTCGATAAGGCAGCTAAGGACGTTACGTTAACGCTGAGAATCGCTTAGAGATCGCCGAGTGGCTCTCACGGCGGCGGCGCGCCTTTGATGTTCCATCTGCAGCGCCTTAATGACCGTTAAGGGTATCCGCTGGAGACTGCTACTAGCTAACGCGACGTCCGCTGATCTTTTTGAGGATTAACTTAGCTTTGGCTTATCGAACTTTTGGAGACCTTACCTCGTAGCACTCTATAGAATATCCGTCCGTATAGTTGGAGAAGTTTTGTGTCGTTTTGCACAAACTATGGGCTAAATCGACGTGTGAGATTTTTGTTTAAGCTCGTTTTATCAGAGGGCGGGGATAATGCGAGCCCCCACCCTTAGCTTATAGTTTCGCACGAGTGCCAAACTAAGCCACAGACAATTTTTTACCTTTTACGTATGACGTTTCAAATTCTAAACCTTGTACAATAATGCTCATATATATTTTTAACCTACCAGATGTCATTTATCACGATAAAAATGAGTTTGATTCTATATACGAAGCTGACAATTGAATTCACTGGGTACATTAAAATTTTAATGTCATTGTTTTCTAATATATACATTAAGTTGTTACACAACTATCTATAATTTACATTAAATAGCTCTTCGTAGATTATAAAAGCTAAAAAACACAGTAAGAATCACATAGAAAAATAAAATTTCATATTGATTTTATGACGTAATTCGCGATTCACGTAATTGTATTATACAATTTTATTGATGCTCAGATTAAAGCTGAGGTTCTTCGAGTATAATAAAATGAAAACGAGCGCGTCGTTCACTAACCGGCGCTACCAAGGCTTTGCCCGATACAAAAGACGAAAAATCTTAAGTATCCCTTAATGGAGTCCGCCAGCTTTAGACTAGAGAACAAATTGGTTCCCCCGGCCGCGATCCTTAGTTAAAAGGCAATTTCACTTCAGGCCCGAATAGCTCCAACGCGAAATAGGCAAAGTTGTCGTTAACTTCTAATAAAGCTTTGGAAAAAAATTACACCTAACCAAAAGAAAACGCGTGCTCTAGCGAAATCTTTCTGGAACTGCTCAATTGCAAACTAGCGATGGTTAAAAGTTACCTTTGTTCGCAGGAGAGCGGTAGACAATAATGGACGAGGATATAGTTTTGAAGATATAAGCTGGAACACCGAGCGGAAATGGCTTGTGACTAACTAACAAGCAACTGGGGACCCTCCACAATAAGGGAGCAGAGATGACTAATGTTAAATTGAAACTGATGTTCTTCATCCTGAACGCTGTGCTGTCGCGGGATACGGTGCAGGCACGGCCCCCTCCCAACTTGAACGCGACGAGAATGTGGGGGCCCATCGGTAAGTGGGACCCTTTCACTTTTCCCGTGGAACCGGACGACGATACTCTTGTCGTAGCCAGCGACGTAGTCACGCCCAACGAGGCAAGGAAATATAAAACTCAGATAGATGATATTGTAAATTCAGAGCAGTATAGAGATGTGGATCTCTCTAAGACTGAGAACAATGAGTTGGCCTTCCTCGGTTTGAGAGATCACGTCGTCGAAGGCCTGGACAAACAAATTTACGTGTCCAACGCGCTGCTTGAGGATATCATCGACTCGGAGACCGAGAGGGAGGAGGACCTCGGCGACATAGAATATCGATCCGACGAACCCAATTTCCAGTTCTTAAGAGCGAGTCAGCCGCTGACCGGAACAGCACCAGACAGAGCAATGGGTCACGGTGATAGCAAGCTGAATAAGACAGATAGAAATGTCAGTGATGTGATGAACAACTTGGACTATAGTGAGGTGGATCCAGACAGAGCAAATAGATATTACCCTGATGAGAGGAGGAAAATTGACTATGTTGAGCTAGTCGAACTGTTGAAGCCGATTGTCGGTAACAAGAGCGCGTACCATCTAGCGAACATGACCAGCCACGAAGTGGACAACGATCTAGCACCGGACACAAGTTAGTATTGACTTTTTATTGTTTCACGAAACACTGGTACCCAAGAATATTGAGTAAATTCAAAGGGATATATCTGAGTCCCCCAAACGGGCATGGGCTATAGTGCACCATCCATTACTTGCTTGAACGTTTTAGCCTTTGCATTCGTTTGATTTACTGTGGTTTATAATTTCATAGCTAAGTATGTTTTTCTAAGATATTGTGCCGGGCAGTTTACTGACACTAGAACTATTATCAACCTTATTGACACAAAGCTGTGGTTTCTAAGCGGACGAATTCTAAAAAAAAATTAATTGGATCCCGTTGCTATGGTGACGGCTTATGTCACATTGAAATTAGTCATTAATAATATTTCGATTAATACTTTTCTACATGCCTTAAATTCAGGGTTAAACTTGACATCGTAATATTTTCTGCAGAGATTAACGGACACCAAAAACGTTTCATTTGCCAAAGTGTTCGAATTAATAGCACGTTAATGCTTTTCCCGTTGGACCCCAATCAAATAAAATGGCCGCCCAGGTGACGGGATCCTATGAGCTGAGCAATAAATTGAACTGATCGTAAATTAAAGGAATCCTTTGTCAGTTGATTACGCCTTTATGTTTGACTTCGTAGCCATCTTTATACGTGTATGTACTCTTTTGGTATTGATACATGATGTTTTATAGATCACGCATGTTCATACTACGCGGCGTTTAAAAATTGTTCCGCTTTACTTTACATGTACAAGTGAATGTGATCGTATGATACGGAATGAGATAACAGTCTATAGAATTGCAATGTAATTATACCAATTGGATAAATTTGAGTGCCTCAATTTCGGTAGGCTGGTGTCATACTAATATACCTTGATTTGTATATAATATCATTGGTATCGATGTACATATAATGTAGTTTATTGGAGTTAAGATCGAACAATAAAATACGTACAGAAATGTCAGGAGATCTATTAAGTTATGTTATTATGATACTGTCCAAAGTAGAGTCTTATAATTTGTACCACTGTTAACTCTTGGTGTATTCCCGAATGAGCCGTCTCCTTCGTTTAACAGAACAAATGTCTTAATATATATATATATATATAAATACTGTTCTCTGCAGATTTGGTACGTTTTTTGTTACATAGTTTGACTTGCATACATTAATCTTTCATCTTAAGTGCAAAGATTAGCACTATAAAAATTGCCTACAGTCTATAAACTTACATCGTAAGACCACTTAGTATTGGTAGCCTGTGTAACAAAATGTCGATTGACCTGCTGATTATACGAAATACAATCAAATGATGAAGGGAAGTAATTACCGGCCACAGAACGTCAAAATTATAACGGACAATGTAGGGCAAATTGAATTTGGGGTGGAGGCGAGGAATGTTTATGTCATAATTTGTGTCGTTCGTAAACTGTTACGTAACGTAACCTCAATTTATCAGGCTTTAACACGCAGCCATGTCTGCTCGGATCTCGAAGCGTAATTTTTATTTTGCACACTGAATGGTGGAGCTGTGAAAAATTCACTCATCCGTAAATAATTCACCCGAGCCTATATCTACCTCTATTTATCAGAATCATTTCAATAAATTGCGTTTTCGTTTCTATTTTTAAAAGTCCTTGGGATGTAGAATGGAATAAATTTTTTTTTTTAGTTTGTACGAACACTTAGAAATATCAAAAGTTACCCACGTCACTCTTCAGGATATCAGTTTTTGATTTGACACCTTGTATTAGTTATTAATAAAACGTACTCACTACAACGTACACTAGATGGAGTGACGACCTGTGCAAGTATTCGGGAAGTCGATGGATACAGGTGGCTCAGGATCGTGCTTCGTGGCAGTCTATGGGCGAGACCTATGTTCAGTAGTGGACTCTAACAGGCTCAAATGATGATGATGAAAACGTACTTTCTTTATTAAGAATGTTTTTATATTTTCCTAATTATGGCAAAGATAAAACAAAACGATAAAGCACAATGACCGGCACTTCAAATTAATGTAGCACAATTAAAATTAACGGAGTTCAGAACCAGTCACATTATACACAACTCCTGTATGAATATTTTCCCTTAAGCGGCTCTAATTAAAACTGGTTGTGAGGGCTGTCGGAAGTGATGAGACGCGCTCCGTGCGTTTCCGGGGGCGGTGTATAGGGGTGAAATCCCCTATTGCATTTAGTGGATCGATCCGGAAGTCGGAGGGTGTAATTCTAATTAAAACAATCGGTGCAATAAATGGCTTTAGGTGTTTCTAATTGTCATTTAAAGAATTACAATTAAATCTTTTTTATCCAAATACTTTGACTTTGACAGATACAACTCTGTGTGTAATTATGAATTTATTTAATGTCATGGGTAATTACCATTACTCATTGTATTGAATCTTCGCACAGTTTTACATACAGCGTGTCGTTACCATCGCGACAATAAATGAACACACATATAGGGGATAACTTATTAAAGTTGTATTAAACATTTATATTCTTTAAACATCAATATTTACAGAGTTATTAAATTTTCCAAAACAAAGAATTTTAGAACACCCTTACCTATAAAAGCGTAACGTAATGTTCATTTGTAAAGGTCACAAAGCATATGAATGGGTTGAATGAATTTAAAAGAGACAAAACATACTGTTAGAAGGAGAGGCTTGTAATACGACGTTGTGGCGCGAGTTGTATAGGTGTTACAAATTTTGTTTATTTTTTACTTAATTACTTTGTTTGAAAATTATTTTTTTTTTAATTATGAATTTTGTTTAACGTTAATATTTTTTTATGATTATTGGCAAGTAGCGTTAGACGTGTGTTCATTTATTGTCGATGGTAACGACACGCTGTATAGAAATCGTTTTTAGTTTTATTATCTTAGTAACAATAAATCACAATAATTGTATAATTACAGGTTGGTACTGTTATGTTATCTTATATCATTAGTTCATTCTTAAGGAAAGTCTACATTTTTGCTACTCAATCATAAAAAAGCGTACGGATGTTTTGACGAGTTGCAGTAACAGGCATTACTTCGAACAATCCCTCTTAGCATTCCCGTTCAATTGTACTATAATATGATTATAGTAAATATATTTTACTGTCAAATATAAAATAAAATATCCTGCTGAGTGTCTTTCGGTAATTGTCGAGTGGCTTTTCCTTTACGAAGTATTATTTTGACAATTAATAATAAGTAAGTGTTATACCGCTATAAAATCTATATTGAATAAAGAGATTTTAATTTAATTTTATTTTATTTTTAAAAGAAAATGCTCTTCGCAAGGCCAAAGGGCCGAAACGATCGGACGGCTTATCAAATCAAATATCTTTATTCAATATAGAAGCATAAAACTCACTTATTATTGATTGCCAAGATTATCAAGACCACCGCCACCGGTTCGGAAAGCAAAGCCACTGACCTGAGAAGAACCGGCGAAAGAAACTCAGCGGGACTTTTTCTTTTTTTTTTACCTTTAATTATCAATGATTCGAGCGGTTCTTCTTTGGACTAGTTACGCTAGTATGGGGGCGCCTCAGCCCAGACAATATCTGTCTTCCATATGCGGCCAAATCTATGCTTTATACAGGTATCAGTGAAGGGCTGACAGAAAATACTGTCTCACTGTGCTAAGAACACGGAGCTTATTAGAAGCCAACTTGGAACACGGCTTGAAAACATATGCACAGTCAAGGATTCCAATCGAGTCTGTAGCAACAAGGGTAAATATTTCAAAAGAAGAAGTCACGACCAAGATTTTAGTATACCTTTATGCTCCGATGATTGATGAAAATGATGATGCAGCTGTATAATTTTTCAGGATGTTCATATGAAGTGATCTGATCGGGTACGGTTTGAAGAATTTTATTTCCCAAAAGGACATTGCATAGTTCACTTAGATGAGGAACTTAACTAAATAATTTACGATAAAAGAAAGAGATAAAATTATAAACAAAGAGGCGTTCGATCTACTTTTGTTACACAAAAACTAAGTAAGGATCAGGTATTAATTAGGTTGCATACAGATTCTTTTATGTTTTTTTGGTAATTTTTATGTTTTTTTGGTCCACAGGAATGCAATGCTAGCTTATCGTTTAGCAATTTTGCCTTAAAATCAAATCAAAATTAAAATCGAAATCATTTATTCGAAGTAAGATTTTTTCAAATCGTTTTTCGACGTCTTATACTTTGTTTTATAACATATGTCTCTCATGCCGTGCTGGAGTGTCGGAACACCAAGCCTCTTTGTCATTTAAATAATCATCTATCTTATAATAAGCTTTTTTAAACAGTGTCTGCTTTACAATAAATTTGAACTTTTTGTCCGGTAGATTTATAATCAGGAATTTTGTTGTAGTAGCGCACACAGAGCCCCACGATTGAAGTCCTAACCTTGGCTAGACTACAGCGAGGAAGAACTAAATTATTCTTATTTCTTAGCACTAAGCCCTTAAGTCAATTTCAAAACGAGAGTCTCGCATCCAGAGCTAAGTTCGCGTTTAATTTGACTCGGAAATTCCAAGTAAATCGGCGCTCGGAAAACTTATAGGGTTTATATTTTGTCGTTAAGCTTCTTAGTTATTGACACTGGAAGGGGCCTTTGATCGTCCGTCGAGATTGATTTCATTACCGATAACTTAGCGATGGAATGGCCGAATAAAACCGTTTTAAGAAGAGTTTAAATGATTTCTTCTTTACGGTGCTCATTGCATTTAATCTATAGTACCTGGAGGACCGAGCTTTGCTCGGTTTTTTTTTTGGTAAATCGTGTATTTTGGAAATTACATTTAGATACAACTTACTGAGTAATGAAACATGCATAATATTTTTCGATCTTACCGACGTAATAATAAGAAAATATGAACTGGTGTTTATCACAAAAGAAAGAACTTTAAAAAAAGGGAAAAAAATAAGAAAATAACAAATCGACAAAAAATAAAAAATAAAGAAAGCAATGATCTGGAATTGAAAAAATAAGTGTGTAAATGATCGTGATACGAACCACGGCCGTCTGTTTTGGGGCCGCCCGATTACCGACCGAGTTATTATAACATTTTTTTTCCGGCGAAATTTACCGTCATATTCGAATGATATTTTACATTCCTTGAAAACAGGGATAAAAGGACATTTTCTCAAAATGAAACCTAGCTAGATCGATTTTTCGCTTCCGAATCTACGCACATACTAAATTTCATGAAAATCGCTGGAACGGTTCCGAGATTCCGATTATATATATACAAGAATTGCTCGTTTAAAGGATAAGAGATTGTTCAGTTGTAAGTTTATTTTTTGTACCCAGAGGTGGCGCTAAATGATAAAGCGAACATCGCTGGATCACGGTGTTGAGATAATTTTTGTATTTTAATGACCTCCAACCAAGTATTCATATTAGGGATTCCGAAAGAGAAAAAATGTATCGATATCGATATTTATAAAAATATCAATATTTTCTTTTTAGGTCTTGTTTTCAAAAAATAAAGAAAAAAAAACGAATTCCAAGTATTAAATATTTAAAAGTAAGGACTCTGTCCTCGATTTGAATTTGACGAAATATCGATTTTGATACGATTTCGATATTGAATATTTTATATCGATGTATCGATATATCGGATTAAATCTAATAATATCAACATATCGATATTTTTTCGGCATTTCTAATTCATATTGTTTATATTTGAATCCAATATCGTAATCTACGTTCGGGAAACGTTACTTTCAAATATATCTCTTTTAAAATTCATTGCCTCTAAAATTATTTTAATAAACTTTTAAGAAATTAATTTTCCACGGTAATAACGGTATTTTATAACGATAACTCCAATGAGAGCTGTCACCATTGCTTTTTAGAAATTGAAAACTATATTCGAAACTTTTTGTATGCTGGAAAGGATGTAGATGCAGCAAGCATATTGCTTCAAATGCTAATAAACAATGTAATTGGCTAAAGCGTCACGCCGCGAATGCCGAAGACGTGGGTTGATTCCCACAGCGGCCACAATCTTTTCGTACTTCTTTTACAAATTGTAATGCTTAATCTTAAGTGCAGAGATTAGAACTATAAAAAAAACTTTAAACTCATTGATAATCTGTAGTTTGTCTACAATTTTATAATGTTTACGCGAATGTTCAAAAAATTAAAGGTAAACACGTTTTATTTAACTAAACTGTTAAAATATCGGCGCAATCAATTTCCGAGGGCTACTAATCAATTCCGCCGACAGTTTTTTTTTTATAGTGTAATAAGCGATTTCGATTCTGTTCGGATTCATCTTCGAGTCGCGATATCGCTTACCGTTAATTGAAGTGGCGATTTTCTTTGCTTGTATTCCCTTTTCATAGCCCAGGAGCTGTGATAGCTCACTGTCCGGGCGCACTCTTTTAACTCAATATACTCGCAACCCAGTTCAAATCTCGGTGCTTGCAACAATGAAATTGTCAATTTTCAGTGCTAAATTATCACGTGGTCTGCGGTGAGGGAAAATATCGTGAGTAAACCTGCATATTTTCGAAATAACAAAAAATTACGAAGATGGGTAAAGTCTGCCAATCCGCATCTATCTCGTGGTGGGCTATGTCTTACCCTCTGTACAGAGGAGTCCTTTGCCTAGCATTGTACCTACTTGTATAGGCTATTTCATTACTTGACTTTAAGGTTATCTTTCATATTTTGTATTTAAATTTACACGGCAGGACCATCGGTTTCTTGTTTATCCTTTCCCATAATACTACTTGTCATGATTGTAGGTATATCGTTTAATTATTCGATATTTTCATCAAGACCTTACGTCTTTTAGAGACATCTTAGTTAGTGTTTACGGAACTGACATATATTCTGTATGTTTTGTATATTATATAAGATCGAATCGGAATATTTTGAGTAAAAAAAAAATATTTTGATTGAGACCGAACATATACAACCACAACTTTGTAAATTTATGAAAACTATCCTCAAACACGATAGCCATATGACTTGGAATATTGTCGAACGGTGACTTTAATTATTAAAAAGTCGCACATCTAATGCAGCTATAAATCTTGTTTAGGGTACAGTGTCTGTGATATATTATGTGTGAAGTATATTATGTGGGCGGCTGTATCCCGCCTTGCTTGCTTTTTGCGATTAAATTTTATCAGTATTGATTATTTTTTAATGAGGGATAACTAGTCTTTTATACCGTGTGAAAGAATTAGTAAAAAACTAAAAAAACTAATTGTTTGTGAATTAAAGAAGTATGACGTAATATGTTGACTTAAATATAATCATTGGAAAAAAATATACTAATCTAAACCAGGAATGTAATGTGCAACCAATAAATAAAGGATAGAACCATTTCTATGCAATACTGAAATGACTGCTTTTTAATGCAATAAATTATCAGTAGTAAATCAAATTCGCTCGTTTCAAAGCGAGTTTTATTTATTAAAGTCGGTGGAAACCGACGTAAATGTGTACACTGCAAACATTTCGATGTGATTCTCAGTTAAACCGGAGTGTTAGTTTTTTCGTTGGATTTAAAAACAAACTTTCGAATCCCGTTCGGAAGGTTTTAGTATTTTATCAAAGTATTTTATGACAATTGCCGTTCGAGTGTTGTTATACCAGTTCTTTAATTAACAAATAAGTTTTGAATAAACTCAAGGAATATTTGTTTATTTACGATTTAAGATCGATTCATTCACTATTCATGGCATACATCATACTCTGACGCAGAGATAATAATTGAGAAGCTTATATCACAGTCAGTATTAATAGCAAACGTACTGATGTAACATATACTGGACCTATATAACTATCCTAACGACAAGAACAGCAAATTTGACAAAGTTGGCGCGTTGAGTGTGTGCAGCGCTTTGGCATGTGACCTGTCGCAGTTCTCTCTGTGTTCTCAGGCTTCACGGACCTCCAGACGCTAATCCTGGCCTGCTTCGGGACATTGCTGCCGCTCCTGACCGTGCTCTTCGCGACCCTCGCTATCAGGTGAGAGATATCCATCTTTTTTTGGTAGTTTTTTTTTGTTATGCGAAATGTTGCCAAGCGATCAGACGGTTCACCTGATGTTAAGTGAATGCCGCCGCCCATGGACATCTGCTACACCCGAGTTGACAACCATTTGAAAATTGCGCTCCGGCCACCTCACTCACCAGACGAAATGCGAAAGTATTATACTTCCACTTTTCGCCGGTCTTCTGTGAGGTCGTGGTACTTACCCGGCCGAGCCTGCCCCTTCAAGCAACAGCCGAGGCTGCTGCGTGGCCCTACCACCGGTGGTAGTTGGGGGGACTTCAGGAGATACCCCGTCATTTCTCACATGACAGGGTTATGTGGGGTTCGTAGTAAAACCCTCTCGGTGCCCACCTTCTGTGGCTTTGGGACTCCGGTATCTCCTGCGGAACGCACCGGTGTGAGAGATAACTAGATAGAGCCATTCGTTAACCCATTGTGCGTTGCCGTGACTACATTCTTTACTATAGCTAGTATGTTATGTTATGAACTTGATTGTTTTTGATATAACGGATGCAGGTCGTTAAATAAGTCGTAAAATTTGTCCTTTGCTATTTAGACTTTTACATCTATATCGTCCTGAAGCTACTTTGGTGCAGCAGATTTTGCTAAAGCAATAGGATGACCCATTCGAAACACCAAGCAGCTCGTCTAAACCTTGGTAATAAGATTTCAGCTTTACGGGCTATTTTTTTAATGTGAGAAGATGGCAATCGAGCTGGCGGTCACCTGATGTTAAGTGATAACCGCCGCCCAAGGATATTTACAAAATCTGTAGGGTTGCAGATGCATTAATAGCTTTTAATAAAGCGAGCCCTGGCTACCTCACTCAGGCGAAACGCAGAAGTGTAATACTTTCCCCTTTACGCCGGTCCTCTGTGAGTGGTACTTCCCCGGATGGAACTGCCCATTCGTACAACAGAGAAGATTTTTGGCTCTACCAATCTGGTGAGATTGGGTCTAATTTGGTGTCAAGTATATGAAAAAAAAAAAAACTCGTTTACGGCCAGTTCTAAGCATTTCGATTTTAACGTGGAGCTTGGTAAGAAGGCGTGTTTAAGGTTTGACCCGTGAGATAACCAAATACAAATACAAAAATATATATCTCATAAACACTAAAATAGTATTTTATGGCCGCATTTATTGCCAGTTAACAGTCTGAAATTTAAATTATTTCATTTTCAAATGGTCCCGTTAAAAATCTTTAAAGACTGTAATTTTCCCGAGAAATTGACACGAGAGAATAAAGATTATTAATTAACTGTCAAAGGTGTTATTGAGTGCGATAATATCAACAATTTAGTTACACTGTTGCCTCGAAAAAGTAAAAAAGAGTAAGAAACACAAATATCTCTAGTAATTTATTGGATTGAATATAATGTAATAGAGCTTTTAGATGCTTTGCATTACAAAACGGAAATTTGTAAATTTCGATATCAACAGCACTTATCTAAATTGAGGACGGAGTAAGGAAAAATGGATTTAACTCAAAGTCAAAGTCAGAGTCAAGTGTCTTTATTCATTATAGGCTTAACTTAAGCTCTTATTGAACATCAAAATCTACAACCGGAAAGGGGCAAAGGAAAAGGGCTGCATTGTAATACGCAACTATTCTCGAAATCCTAAGTAGTTACGCCTATTTACGTCGTAAGAAGTTAGAAGATATTGAAGATACGTCTTTTGTGTAACTTTCATTTTTGTTCGACTCTTAAAGTAGTTGGCCTCCCGAGAAATTTCTCATTGTACTGGGATGTGATATGTTTGACTTTTTCGTATTGGGTATAAATATTGTTTGCGGATTTATTGCTGAGGTAGCCGGTTATCGGAAGTATTTTCCTCTGTCGAGACGTATCAATACCATAGACCAACACGGTTTTATCTTCGTAAGACTGGTGTCCACTCGTTTGCTCGTAGGTGGTTTGTCTGATGTTATGTTTAGATGTTACTGTTGTCTATGGTCTACAACATCAGTGGGTTGCAGATGCGCCACCGACATTTAAAATAATACTTGTAGTATTTCTCTTGCATTTACTTTCCTTATATTTGTTGTGAGGCCGTGCAATATTATTTTCAATTAATTTCAATGCCAATTATGTCAAGTTTGACATAATTGGCATTGAAAATAATTGTGTCGGAAAACATTCAATACCTTCAACAAGACTACGGTTTGTAGAATGAACGAAAAATGTAGAAAATGTCACTGTTCAGAAAGGATTTTTGAGCATGTTCAATTTAAGAAATGATAGTATATTGCTAGCTTAAAAAAAGGTTGTCCCTATCAAAACATTAATATAAAAATTGTAGGAAAATTGATTATTTTTTATAAGTAAAATATAATGATTCAACGACGTAATTCATAAACAAACGGTTATTATGCTTCCTCCTTGATATGAATTATTAGTAACAGATGTATTTAACATTATTTGTGTGCTTTATTTATTAGTCAATTCTTAGTAAATATTATTTTTAACAGTTATGAGAGAGTAATAAAAGATGTTTTTTTTTAGATAATTATAACATTCAGCGTGATAACAAAAACAAAGTTAAATTCAGATAGTTATTTTACTTTAACTAAAATGTTACTCTTAACTATACTCGTGAATGGGGAGACTCATTGGAAGTTTATCCGTCACCTTTAATGTTTTCTATTTCTTTTCTAAACAGATTGCCGGCTCTCGAACTTGAGTATCCTATTCGTCTATTTGCCTAGTCGAGCCCTCCGCTCGATACACTGTATGAGGCTACACTCAATTGGAGGTAAATCGAGTTACTGAAGGGGATCAAAGCGATCGTAACGAATTTTAGACTCCACTTTACTGATATATAAAGCTTTCACCGATAACCTGACGCTATAGAGTAAAGTGACTAGTTCAAAAATATGTATTTATATCTAATATATAAAATTCTTGTCACAGATTTACTGTTTATACCTCTCCGAAACGGCTTGGCCGATTTTGATGAAATTTTATGTGTATATTCAGTAGGTATGAGGATAGGTTTAACCAATTTTAATACCCCTAAGTGATAAGGGTGGTCGACCACAAACATTTTTTTTTCTATCTTAAAAATAATTTATATGGCAAAACAACGTTTGCCGGGCCAGCTAGTATTATGTGTATTGTTTGCAAAACATTTTTTTAGATATAATTCTTCTGCGCGTGTGTAACTGAACTCCTCCTAAAAGGCTCGACGGATTTTAATGACATTTTGTGTGTGTCTTCAGGTCCATTCGAGAATGTTTTAGATTCACAATTCGGTCCACTAATTTTTTTTTATTTAAATAAGGATTCTAGTAGCGTGTACAGGACAACGTCTTTCGGGTCCGCTAGTGTATGTTTATTGGCGTGGCTAGTGTATATAGCGTGTCGTTACAACCACGACAATAAATGAACACACGTCTAACGCTACTTGCCAATAATGATAAAAAAATATAAAACGTTAAGAAAGTCCATAATTTAAAAAAATATATTTTTCAAACAAACTAATTAAATAAGAAAGAAACAAAATTTGTAACATCCTATACAACTACAACTGACTGATTCATACATTCAGAGACGTTTACATTCGTTGCCACAACGTCGCATATTACAAGTCTCTCCTTCTAACAGTATGTTTTATCTCTTTTAAATTCATTCAACGACCTTTACAAATGAACTTTACGTTGCAGTTTTATTCGTAAGGATGTTCTAAAAATGTTTGTTTTGTAAAATTTAATAACTAGGTAAATATTGATGTTTAAAGAATGTAAATGCTTAATACAATATTAAAAAGTTATCCTCTATAATATGTGTGTTCATTTATTGTCGCGGTTGTAACGACACGCTGTATAAGATTATGGCGGCGGTTATCACTTAACATCAGGCGAACCGGCAACTCTTGGCACCTTCTCACATGAAAAAAAAACTTCGTCAACGTCGACTTCGTCAGGTGGCGCATTTAATGCTTTCATGCAATAAATACCTGAAGCACCTGATATATATCATTTCGCTGCACTATTTGAGATATTTGGTTTTCCGCTTTTAGATAGTGTTCATCAATATTTGGGCCCTAATAACGCTGGATCACTTTTTCTTTGCCCACATACTGCATCGACCCTTAATTACACCCTTCGATGTTCCTAAAATCATGTCATGTCCTCCGTTATCGAGTCAAAACATAACAAACACACGAGCCGCGGTTCGTATACAGTAAGGGGAATGTTAATAAAACAAAGATAATAAAATATACCAAACACTTACCGTTGCTCTATAGTGAAGGGCAAAGATAACGGATATCAATTTTCCTAGATATTGAACAACTCTGTCGGCTCTCGGCTCAGCGGTTACAAGAACTAATTACCCCACCCTACCTCAGTATAGAGTTAGTCTGGTTGATACAAGCTCGCCTACGGTGCCCTCTAAAGAAATCCGACTGTCCTTACTTAACACACAATTAACGTTCCTACCTACTCGTCTAATAACTAAAACTATTAAATTTTATCTTACACGTAATATGTGTTAAATCATGATTTATATAATTATGCTTTTCACGAATTAACTGTTAAATTAGTTAAAAGCGTAATGAGTTAACGAGCCCGAACATGCATGATCATAAATAATCCATCAATTGAGGTTAACTCCGACAAATGTGCGTGTTGTTTCATAAGTATTTGTTGACTGTTCATAAACTCATCAAATATACGTGTGATTCAAGTTACTCGTAGTTGCTTTTCATAATCTGAACTACTTTCGTAGAATACGCGTGATTTAAACTGGTTTTTTTTATGTAACAAGGTGGCAAACGAGCTGGCGGTTCACCTGATGTTAATAGGTATCCCGTAGGATTGCAGATGCATTGCCACCTTTTAATAAAGTGGGCACCGAATCACTCACTCACTAGACGAAACGCAGAAGTATGGTACTTTCACTTCGCATCGGTCTTCTTTGAGGTCGTGGTAATTACCCGGACGGATCTGCCCATTCGTGCCACAGCGAAAA